GAAATAGCCTGTTCCGAAACCCAGTTTTCGTGCCTGAATCTTAGGGCAGGTCGAAACAAATGAGGGCCTAAAAATAGCCCAGGGCCTAAGAATAGCCCTCCGTTTCAGGCTGGAAAAACTCTGGGTCTGAAAGACCCAGAAATAGGCTGAAACGGAGTAGGGCCTGCAGGCCCTCGTTTTTCAGTTTTCAGGCTGAAACGACCGGGGCCTGTAGCTCCTAAGTTTTAGGCTTTAAGGCTGAATGTCCGGGACGGGGCCCGTGTGGCTACGCAGTCTGCCACAGTGTGTGTGTGTGTGTGTGAAACAGCGAAAAACGCAAGGCAGGACCCAAAAAGCGCAAAAAGGAGTGGTGGATTGCCAACAGATGATGAAGGACAGAAATATCGCCAAAGTGATGTAGTGAGTGGACAGGGACGTAGCAAAAGGAGTACTCACACACTGGAACTTTCCTACATCCATCTATTGCTAATGACAGCCAGATTGAGTTGAAAAAGTCTGCATAAGAGTGCAATGCCCTAAGCTGCAAAGGCTGAGGTGCCGTGCGCAGCTACAGCAACGTGCTGAATTACAGAAAACGTTTCCGCACTGAATTTCATTTCCTTCGGACTTCACGAAGCAGCCTTGCATAAATGCACTTTGCAGAAGTTTTGCGCCTTTTTTCTTTTTTTTTTTTGACAAGTTCGTTTTCAAACCACCCGTGCGGCGGACCTTTTTTTTCAAACGTAAATTTTGTACCGACCCCGGGAAAATCAAAAACCTTAGTGAAGGCTTTCCGCCTCAAAGAAGAACTGCGGTGTTAGAGTCCTATACCATCGCAATGGCGATCAGACTGTCAGTTGGCGCTGCTGGTTTTTTTTATTTCACATAGGACTCACGGGGCTTCGTGCACAGCGGGGGCTCCCTTGACTATGGAGGGAGCGGCGCCAATGCGATCCACACTGCTGTCGGTCCAAACCGCGGCCAGCTTGATACAGCGGCCTGCTTCGAATCTTCGGGGGAGGAGAGGGGGGCTTGCACCAGTGGTTCAGGGCCTCGCTCCACTACTCACCACATGCACGAAAAAGACAAAAAATATGGCGGTATATCTTTCCATGTTCTAGAGGAAGATTCATTCCCGTTTCGCACATTTGGTGAGTAGTGGAGCAAGGCCATACATCTCCCCCTTCTTTTTTTTATTTGTACGCTCAGAGACGCAGACACAGTGACCGCCCTCCAGCAGAGCCAACTGAACCTCCCTCCACCTCTATCCTTTTCTTCTCTTTCTTTAAACCACCACTACCTTTCACAGTGTTGGGAAAACTGGGAAGATAAACTCTACTGCATTCTTCGGGGACCGGGCCACGGTTGGGCCGCCGTTGATAAATTTCATCGGCGGTCAGTGGATTTTGTTCCATTACCTGCCTCCAAAACTTGCCAGGCCTCGCCCAGGGCCGATGTATGGGAAAGGTTGTGGTATTTTACTGCAAGTCCAGATATCAAAGAAGATAAACAGTTTGGAATATTCTTTTACTGCGTTTTTTTTTTTTTTTTTTTTTTTTTTTTTTTTTTTTTATATTTTTGAAGTTGCACTTTTTTTGTGGCTGTA